AAACGCTGATAAATTCGAGGTTTACTGTGGAGGGGTTTGCGATGGTACATGGGCAGAGTTAGAACCGTCTACAGTTATCCCAATTTTTGCATGGGAGCATGGATAAGGAGCTGCGTGGTGGGCGTCGAAGCGAAAGCGAAATAGTGCACCTCCCATGGGGATTTCCTTGCATTCAAAAATTAGAATTACTGTAGGAAACGGGAGTAATCGCACTGCATGCCCCCTTATTGAAATAGATCCTGAATTCATTCTTTAGCTTTTTGGTCGTGATTCCTGAAATACCTAGTGCACCAAAATTGCTGCCGGTATCGCGACCACTTTTTGTTATTATACGATCGCAGTTGGACACTGCTGTGCAAACGCGGACATGCAGAGCTACCGTATACCGAATAAACGTGTAAATGGAACGTTTTTCCGTGTAAGTCGACTACCGTAGCCTTCTTTATACAGCTCTTTGTTACGGTAAGTTGATATGTGCAGTTAATGAATAACATAAAAAGTTCCAAAATATCTCAGTCGCATTGGAAACATAGCTGCTTGTTCTTTTCCTGTAATGCTAAAGCAAGAGGGGAATGCGAAAAATGATATTTGTTAAAAAAAATCCAGGAAAAGTAAGTCACTGATTTGCTCGAGCCAGAATTACTGATATAAGCGAAAGCCTGCAGCACAGCGCACGTGCATGTTCAGGTAAAATAGCAAAGTATTGCTATCAAATAATATGGTAAATATTGCTACTTTGCCTTTAAATTCGAACACTCTCTTAAAGAAAGCAATTTGGCCACGCCCCATAGATGTGAGCACAAACCTTTCCATCTTCTTTATACCTAGTCAGTTTGCCCTGTTTTTTTGTTAATAATAAATTTTTAAAGTCAAGATTGTACAGACACTCTCACCGTAATGAGCTTTGGCCACGCCCCACGCCATGGGCACTGATCTTTCCCATCGTCGTGAATGGTAATCTAATCTCATGGTACTTTTCAAGAACAAAAAATTTATGGTGTACAAACAATGCGTCTTTCAGAATCCAATCTGGCCAACGCTCTTCTGATTTATCACGAATTTTTCAAGTTGCATATTATCGATGTATCTGCGTATAGTCTTTCAATCTTTCGAAATAGTGTGTTAGTGTTCTTCTCCACAAAAATTAAATTTGGCTCGAGAACTTTCAAAAATGAGCCACAGTGCCTGCAGGGGTTATTTATTGTGACAAGACTTCACCGAACCTTTTTGTGGACAGCATCTTTTGAAATATGTATTGTTTATTTACTTCCTATTATTATATCTAATGATAAAGTATTCTAGAAGCTTAACGTTCTATTGAACTACTTCGTGATGGAATTTCCTGGAACGTGCCGTTTTCTCAACAACTCCTGCTGTTGACGAGGCCGCCGCCGGAATCCGTTGAAACGACGACGTCGACGCCGTCGGTAGCGCGGACGATCGAGGCGGTAAGGGTATCGGACATACCTGAACACACATCGATTCTCGTTAGTTTGTCTGCGTTAGCTCCGAAGCTATTTGAGGAACAATTGACTATTAACTATTCACTTATTTAATTATCTATCAATTTATAATATTATGTTGCTATTTAGTTAGTTGGTTAGTAATATAATTAGTGTAGTTAACGAGAGTTACATTAGATTATTTGTCTTCTTTTTAGTTTTTTTTATTATATACGTTCCCTAAAGCTTCGATTCGTGATGGGACGAAGTGGTCAGCTCTCGAAATCGATCCTTGAGGCACATCCCTCGATTGGACAGAAGTGGGCTGTTAAGTCCAGAAGGAAAAGGTACTGTAGTAATTGGTTCGACAGTGACGAAATGAAGCAAAAAAACTGATAACAATTTCAAAATTACTTTGCAACCCGATCGTAAGGTGGGCTTGGCGCTTCGCCCTTATAGGAATCTTATTGGTTGACCCTGCCTTGGTATTTTACAGTGTTCCACCATATCAAAGGAAAGGCTAGCCGAGCAGGGCTATAGCCTGGCCCATACGATCGGACTATTATAAGTTTAAGTACATAGGGCGGTATATCGTAACCCTCTTGTCGGTGGAACGCTAAGGCCGATGTCAGACTTTGCGAATCGCGCGATTCGCTACTAGCGATTCGCGCGATTCGCTAGCGTCCGCGGTCGCGTTGCGGTACCAGAAACGGCCCAGAACCCGAGAAATGGGACCCCTTCCTTGCCCGTTGATTTGAGCATTGATGCGACTCTCATCGCTGTGCCCTCTTCAACACTACGCTCTCTCAGCTATCTAATCACTCGCCACGTATTGAACTACGGCGAGTGATCAGATGATCGGTGGGCGGAGATCGCCGGACCCGCCAGCTTTGAGGCATGATAGGTCGCCGAGGTCAAATTTTTCCATGCGAATTGCGCGTCAGTTCGCACCCTCAGGAGGTCCGTGGGTCCCTCAACTAGGTCAGTTTCCCTTTCTTCGACCTTCATTCTAATCGTGAATTCCTCCTTTAACTTATGTAATGGCAATCGTCCTTTGTATTTTGAT